TGTTTTAAAATTTGAAATATCAATCCCAGTTACACTAGTTTCAGTAATTTCAAGCAGTTTATTAATAAATGCTGTCCAAGTATTACCGGTGCTATTTTTTTTTTTGGTTGAAAGCAGAACACTCCAGTTCATTACATTTATAATTCTTAAGTCTTTTCCAGAATTTCAGCAGCAGAGTTCAATAATAATAGGGTAGCATCCCAACTCTGCTCTGACAGCATTATTGCTTGCTTTCTTATGTACACCCAAGACCTGCTTACAGAATTTGATGTGAAGCTGTTCAAATTGGGTTTTGTCACTAAACAATTTTTCAAAGAATGCTTCATTTAAATAATACTATTTTGTTTTGTTTTGTACAGTTTAAAAGTGAAAGCACCCCATATTTCTGACCTAGGTGGAGTAGGGTTCTGAGGTCTGGTTGGCTGAGCAGCTCATGCAGGTGGAGTGGGATCTTAAGGGTCTGGTTGGATAAGTGTCCTAGGTGAAAGGGGTCTGGTTGGTTGAGCAGCCTATGCAGATGAAATAGGGCTTTCATGTTCTGGTTTGATGAGTGTCTGAGGTGGAGTAGGGTACTTGGGTCATGTTAGCTGAGTTGTCCAAGTGGAGTAGCACCCTTGTGGTCTGAAATGAACAAGTGCTGAAAGTTAGTGGTAGACACAATTGTAATTTGAAAAATTTATTTCTGAAAAATATTATGTATAACATAATGGTGAATGGTGATTATCATTTTTATTATTCTTAATATCAATAATAATAATATAATTTAAAAAAAAAAATTTAATGCAACCCAAGTTAGTCACAATTTGAAATTGAGCTGTGTGATGTGTTCTTTATCATAGGGACAATTGACAATTTATTTTGCGCTGGGTCAAGAAACAAAAACTTTTTTGTGCTTTACGTAATCCTTGCATTGGTAAAGGCACAATTTATAGTAAATTTAGACATTTTTCTAGTATTTTAATATTTCAGTATTTTTCTACCCTTTGATTGCCATAATTGTTCTCAGCAAAATTTTCATGCAACTTTTTGCCTGATTTTACGTATTTTTCTACCTATTTTTTGGAACAAAATGCACATGATTTGCTACAAGTCTTGATCAAAAGTTTAGAAAACTTTTGTGGGTTTACAATTTATGAATGGTGACACAAGTAGATTTCGGTGTTCAAAGGTTTAATCAATTGTCTCAATTACAGGTTTGTAGTCACACTATTTTTTAGTATTGTGTTAGAAACAGAAACTCTTATTTTTTTATGTGAAGATGAATAGTTTTGGGAAAAAAACCCAAAGATTGAGTAAAATCTAATGTAAGGGGTAAAACAAAAGCTCTACTATAAGCAAGATTGGACTATGAGGGCGCTAGATGAGTTAGGAAACTAAAGGTATATGTTGTTTCTGATCAAGAACTAAAAAAAACACAATTTCCAGGTCATTGATATCATTATGTACAATCCATATCAGCAATCAAAGTGTTAAACAATGCATTTGTAAAAGAATACACAAATTATTAAAATTAAGACCAAATCAACATAAAATCAATTTAACATTTTTTTTCTTTGTTCTTCCAGGATGTAATTGAAGCCATAGCGGAAAGTGCTTTTAAAACATCAGAATATCCAGTCATATTATCATTTGAGAACCATTGCTCGTAAGTCATTTCTGAATTTTATCTTCCAAGGTCTCCTGTATTTATCTTTCTCACTGTAATACAGAAAAAGATGGAGCGATTCATACTAGCTTGAAATACTCATTAAAAAGAATTATAATATTCTTATCTCAATGTATTTTTTCCAGACCAAAACAACAAGCAAAAATGGCGAACTACTGTAGGTCAATATTTGGTGACTTATTGCTAATTGAGACAGTGGATGACTATCCGGTAAATATATACATGGGGTTAACACATTGCTACAATTTATTTGGAGATACTGAAAAGCCATGTTTCAGCTGATAATAATTAGGCCATTGGTCATTCATTGATCAGCCATTTGTCATTCATTGATCAGCCATTTGTCATTCATTGATCAGCCATTTGTCATTCAGTGATAAGCCATTTGTTATTCAGTGCTCAGCCATTGGTCATTCAGTGATCAGCCATTTGTCATTCAGTGCTCAGCCATTTGTCATTCATTGATCAGCCATTTGTCATTCATTGATCAGCCATTTGTCATTCAGTGATAAGCCATTTGTTATTCAGTGCTCAGCCATTGGTCATTTAGTGATCAGCCATTGGTCATTTAGTGCTCAGTCATTTGTCATTCAGTGCTCAGCCATTTGTCATTCAGTGATCAGCCATTGATGATTCAGTGCTCAGCCATTGGTCATTCAGTGCTCAGCCATTGGTCATTCAGTGATCAGCCATTGGTCATTTAGTGCTCAGCCATTGGTCATTCAGTGATCAGCCATTGGTCATTTAGTGCTCAGCCATTTGTCATTCAGTGATCAGCCATTTGTCATTCAGTGATCAGCCATTTGTCATTCAGTGCTCAGCCATTGGTCATTCAGTGCTCAGCCATTTGTCATTCAGTGATCAGCCATTTGTCATTCAGTGATCAGCCATTTGTCATTCAGTGATCAGCCATTTGTCATTCAGTGATCAGCCATTTGTCATTCAGTGATCAGCCATTGATGATTCAGTGCTCAGCCATTGGTCATTTAGTGACCGGCTATTGGCCATTCAGTGATTGGTCATTGGTCACTCAGTGATCTTTCATTGACCATTTAGTAATATGTTATTTGTCATTTGGTGACTAGCTATTGGCCATTTACTAATCAGATATTGGTCAATCAGTGTTCAGCCATTGGTCATTAAGTCATCTGTTATTAGTTGTTTGGTGAGCACCTATTGGCCATTCACTGGTCATTTGGTGATCAGCCATTGACCATTTAGTGATAGGTTATTGGTCGTTTGGTGAGCAGCTATTGGCCATTCACTGATCACCTATTAGTCAGTCAGTAATCAGCC